GTGCGATTCGTTACATTCAACACATGCACTTGCTGAGGAGAAAGCTCTTCACTGCAGAGATGATTTTATTTCACACCGTCCCTTCTCCTGATAGTGACCTTTCCCAGTTTTTTCCCAAAGATCACATGAGAGCATACTAATTGGCCCCCAAGAAGATTACCTACTTAGAGAAAGAAGCTCTAGAGCTGGTCTCAGGTAGACATCAGCATTTTGTCTCATGAGGTTTGAAGCAACCTGCCAGAGGGCTTTCAAACTTGCTCCACTATGATTTATTATGAGTGCTCAGCTCTCCTTGTCATCAGCGCTTTGCTGTCTTTGTTAAGTGCCTTAGGCAACTGGCCTGTACAGAGGCCTGAGAGATACCAGAGGATCAGCCTAAGCCTTTCTTCCTTGTCCCTTCCTCCTCCCTTTATCATTGTTGTCATTTATAAGTACTGTCTTTTATTAGTACTCTTCTAATACAATTTCTAGGTATTTTAAAGTCTCATAACAATCGGAGGATCTACCATTAATCATCTTTCAGATGAAAAAGGTCAAGTGAAATGCTTATTTGAAGGTCATCCACCAAGAAACAAAATTTCCTCAGTCATTAAAATGTAGATTATTTAACTCCAGAGGACACACACTTAATTGAAAGTAAAAGGGCCACAAGATGAAAGAACAATGGATCACATGTGTGTGGATCTAAGATAAAACTGGGTTTACATAAAGTGAAAGCATTTAGATATAAAGGTTCTTAATCCACTGGACCTCTCAGTGTTCAGATAGACTGGGAGAGGTTTTTAACACACTAAAACAGAATTTGATAAAATTTTTCTTAGTAGGCTATATAGTAACTATTTTGGAATTTGTAGACTTTAAGGGATTTGTCCCTATACTTATCTTTAGCTGTGTAGTGAAAAGTCATAGACCATACAGAAATTACTGTGGATCCATTTCAACAAAACTTTATTTAAAAAAACATGCAGCTGGGTTACAGTCTCTAAATAGTATGCAAATCCTATGTGCAAATATGTGTAATTGTTTTTGTTGTTATTAGAAGACATATAGCTTTCTATAGTTTCTCAAGTAAGTTCGAAATCCAAGCTGGTTAAGAAACAATTGTGCTACACGCCTCTAGGATTAGACAGGCCAAGATTTCAGTTTGTCATGCCTTTTTAATTAGCAAACCCTTAGAGGTTCTTTCTGTTTAGCAGATTCTTCTGATATACTCTACTGTGAACTCTTAAGAGGACAATAATTACCTATGTTGAGGAAAGAATATGGATCACATTATAATTTCAACTTCTTGTTTACCTGGTGAGATGATACTGTGTACAACAAATACATTCCACACTGCAATATAACAGCTCAGCTCTGTACCAGTCAGTCTGAGTTCCGCCGAGGACTTTTCCTTTTGCCATTTTTTTTGTGTTCTTTACTACAGAAAGAACGCATTTATTCTGATCACACTCATATGCAATTTAGATTCCTGGACTGCGCAAAGTCTAAGAAGGTATGAAGTGGAGTAGACGGATGCTGTCATACGTCTTTGATTCAACTCTGCATCTATTCAGAGAACCTCTCTTCCCAAAGGAAACATTTGGCAGGACTCCTTGGCCTCATAAATTAGAGCATTTTGTTCATTGCATGCACTATACCAAGATGCACACTTTGGTCTGGATACTGGTCTAGTGTGTTCGCGCAAGGATTTATAGTCCTCAGCATGGCAATGTTAATATGTAGTCAGACTTTTAAGAGGGAAGGCTTAGTGGAAGTTTGTTACTGCTCCTTCCTGGTTTTACTCTGGGTTCCTATGTCACATGGGCTCTCCTCTCTGTAGCTCTCATCATTTGTGATGCTACATGTCATAACTTTACAAGCAACAAGCTGATGTCAAACCTCCAGAACGGTGAGTGAAATAAACGTCTTTTTATAAAGTACCAGCCTCAGATATTTTGCTGTAGCAATGAAAAAATTGATTAATGCAATGTGCCTTTACCCAGCTTCCCATTCCTGGGTCTCATCTTCTTGAGGGGGAGTTTTAGGGTGACGTGTATTGACTAGATTCCACTGTGTTCCCCTACAGAGCCTGGTACTATACTTTGTACATATACTTTTGCAACAGTAAAAGAAAAGAACTATGGAAAAGAAATGATAGAAGGCATTATTTCAGGTTATTAGCACTGAGATCCCTGAAAGGTATAGCCAGTTTTAAATTCTTATATAATGTTTGAAAATTGAAACAGGGGATATTCAATGGACTTAAAAAATAAACAAGATCGAGCAGTTTGAATTTGAGAAAGAACAAGAATAAAACTCTGATATATTGAAACAAGAAAATACAAATACTATGAATCATAATGTGTATTTGTATTCCAGGTTTATCTCAGAATGAAGAACTGAGCAGAGGGGAAGAACAGGAAAAACAAAAATACGTGAAGAAATGGCAGAAACTGGAAGAGAGGAGAATGAAACGAGGGGAACAAAGAGACAAAGAAATACTGTAGACAAAAGGACAAAGCAGAGTGAGTCTGTAGCTGAATAACTACTGCTGTGTTGAAATTCAGTGTCATTAGGGTGCAGCCATTCCTCACAGCAAGTGCCCCCCAAAGAAAGAAAGAAGCCAGCGAATGGAAATAACAGGAGTATAAATCACTTAGCCAGTACTTATGGAGACTGTATTCCACATTAGACTCCTAAATATATATTACATCAGGAATAGCATTAGCTCTGTGAAATGAAACATCAATAAGAGGACCACATAGCGCTGCCTGTACCCCCAACTAATATTTCAGCTCAGCTGTAATTAGCATGCTCATCTGGCAGCAGCATGGTGCCAGTAAATAGACACTGGTCATGGGAAGCCTGGGTGCTGGTCCTGGCATACATATCATCATATGACCTTGCTGGTCAAGTTCTGGGACCCAGTTTCTTCACTGGTTAAGTGTGAAAAAGAATTCTTTATTCTGCTCTACTCTTATTTCATGGGTGTTGGAAAGAGAAAAAGTGGAAATATATATAGTCACATGCTTAGATAAGTAAAGAATGCCAGAAAAATGGAAAATTGACCTTCTCTTCATTTAACAATGTGGTGGGTAGATGGGGGTGGGAGGTGGGGATGATGGCATTTTGAGCAGGAGGCTTAGTGATTCAAATGAAGTCAGTAATATGTGGTCTAGGGTTATTACTGTTTTCTTAATGTTTGTAAGCATGCTTTTCCCCTTCCGAAATGCCAAAGGTGAGAAATACTATTCTACTGCTATAATTTGTCACCCTTGCTACATGAGCATGACGTCCATAGACAGTTCAGTAATTAAGCTTTTCAACACTGCACCATAAAGTTTTATTCTGGCAAAGGCTATATTTATCAGCTAACAAGTATTAAATCACCCTACTGCTTAAGACATTTCTCACTTGAATACGTTCCTTTCAAAACAGAGCAGCTTTCCTTGGCTGACTTGAATAATAAAAGTTCTTATTTGGAAATATGGTGATGATGTGTGGTCTTGCGAGGTGGAAATACACACACCTCTGCAACTGTTCCAGCAGTGCTGACCCCATCTCTCTAGGGAGCTTGATGCCTTTGCCCTGCAGGCTTCTAGAGCATCTGGCCAACTGACTTCCATGGCCCTCTGGCCAGCAGGAGACATATTCCTTTTTCTTTTTCATTTCTAAAAGTTGAAGAGGCAAATGAAAATCTAAATATAAACAGGTTTTCAGAATGATTAAAAAAGCAAAATGACACATTATATATGTTTAGGAGTGTTACATTTTTCTCATATTGTTGAGGGCTTACAAAAATATACAGAATTAGTAAGGCAACATGCTTAGAATGAATAAACAAAAAATTATTAATAATGGCTTAAAGGAATACTTTCTCTAAGGAACTCACGTCCCTCTTTATAAATCTTTTTCTTTTGTAGAATATACACTCATGAAATATAGCAGTGCTGTTAAAGTTTTGGGATACTTTCATTCAAATAGCTCTAGAGTTATATTTCCTAAAAACAAAAGAGTACATTTGAAGATTTCTCTACCATATTTTAAGGGTGAAATCAAAGTAAAGATAAATGTTAACCAAACATAGATTACAATGATGAAGGAACCCCACACTTTTCACTGTTTTAGACTAGAAATTGTATACTTGTTTTCATTTCTCTGCTTTCAAAATAGGTGACATTAACTACATGTAGGCATTTTAGTTTTTATAGCAATTTATTGCTAAAAGAAAATATCTAATAATATGTCATAAGAACATAAAACTCCTTTTACAGCTCCATAAGCAAGTTTCACCTGTGCATGTATGTGTACATATGACAACGGACATGTACATTTGAATCTTCAGCCACTACCAAGTAAGGAATATTTTGTTGAACTTTTTTTTTTTAATGTTGGGAGGTTGCACCAGTTTCCTTCCTTTCAAATCTCATCACTTTGCTTTTCAAATTAGCAACAGGTAGTTTGCTTTAAAAGGTTGGGGATCAATTTTTCTCTAGCCTGCAAGTCATGGGTTGAGTCATGGGCAAATATGGGTGATACATTGAACCACTAATTGGCAAAACTAAACTATTTAAAGTGCATCTATTTTCCGGTTTAGTCAACTTTTGGATGGACACAAAAAATTCATTAAATTTGACATAGTCTAAATGTGAAGGCACACATTTCAGAGCATGCAAAGGTAACAGAAACAGCTATAGGAGACAACATAAGTTAAAGACAGATATGTTCTTTTTCAGTTTCTATTTGATTTTTATCTTTCATATTAAGACTGGAATCTGTTTTAAGCTTATACAATACTATGTGTCTCGGAAAATCAAATTGAATCTTGCTATTTACTGAAAGTCTGCAGGGAATTTTCTTTGTCAAGTCAGCATACAAACCACAACCCCAAGACATCTAATAACTTGGAAAATAAACGAAACACAAAAATTACAATGTGTTTTCCACAGTTTGGAGAAATCTTGTAGTTCATTAATTTGAAAAAATGTTGAGCCAAGGACATATTTGAAGACTTAAAATGAGGGTTAGATAATGATTATCTTTATTCAGAATTGAAGTTTTTAAAGGGATAAATAATAACATGAACCCCTACTTTTGATTTTAATACAACTTTTGGGGCAGCCTATATTTGAATGTTAAGTACCACTTTTTCTTCAACGAAGATTGGCAATTCAGAAAAGTAGGGAAAGGTATAATGTAAAAGATATTTTCATTTTAATATGGAATATATCAAAGTTATAAGATTGATTTTATGCTCCGTATGAAAAAATGACAATGAAGACCAATTTTCCAGTAATTTATCTCAACAAAATAATCAATAACAGAAAATTGTGCAATAAAAATCAGAAGTAAATGTAGAGAATAAGAACCCAGGTACTAAATATGATTTCTTAAAGCTTCCAGAAGACACAGGGCAGAAGTGATGCAGCCATCAAAGTTGGACTGAGTAAATCCATCCCCTCCACACACAAGAAAAGGTTCAAGATGAAGAATCATCCTGCCAGGACACTTGGCTGCACCACTTGTAACCTATAAGACAAAAAAAAAGATTACGATTGACTATTGGTGTCTATTACGCTATAGTGACATCTGAAAAAGGCTTGTCTACCTGGAGAGGTCAACATTTCTCCAAAGGAGCATGAGAAACAAATAAACACCCCCCCCTTAAATTTCCCCTCCAGCCCAGATATTTACATCTGTATTAGTAAATATTTAAATTTCTCATTATTAGATAAGATAGTCAGAAATGCATAGACTTTAAAACAAGTAGATACTGTGGCCCAAATATTTACCCCCCCCATCCTATTTTGAAATCCTAATCCCCAGGGTGAAGATACTGGGAGGAGGAGCCTAAGTCATGAAGGATTAGTGCCATATAAAATAAGCTTCAGCAGAGTTCTTGGCTTTCTTCTCCTTCTTCTTCTTCTTCTTTTTTTTTTTTTTTTCCAATCAGGACACAGCTGGAAGGTGATGTCTATGAGAATAGGTCTTCACCAAACAGTCCATTTTCTGGAACCTTAGTCTTAGACTTTTCAGCCACCAGAAATTTATGCAAAACGCAAGCTTCTTTTGTTTATAAACCAGCCAGTCTATGATACTTTGTTATAGCAGGTCAAGGATAAAGGCACACTTTCTCTCCTCCTCTTCTACCTTCCCTGTCTTCACATATTTCCCGAGCTGTTTTGAGACAGGCCCCATGCTGGGCACAGGAACAGCAGAATTTTAAAATGTCATATCCCTGTTCAGTTTACTCCTGAAACTAAAGCTGCCTTAAAAGCACAGACTGGCTTCCTTCTATTATGTACTGAATGCCTCCTAGGTGGCAGAATGTGTTTCATTTGCTGACTGCATTTCATGAATAAATTAATTCATTGCAATCAACTCATATAAGAGACTAAGGGAACCTGATGGGTGTATAAGAACTGAGGAAACAGGGCCGGGTCATTCCAAGTCGACTGTGTAAATGCTCATTCAGTCTGCAGGCAAGAGAAAACAAGGCGTGCCTAGGAAACTGTGGGGCTGTAAGGGAGGTCAGTGTGCGTGCGTGCATGCATGTGTTGGGGAAGGGGGTTGACTGGAGAAAAAGACACGGCAGAAAGGCCCCATAGCAGGATACAGTGTCTTGAAATTTAAAAATATAAAACTGCTGGGTTTGATGGCACACATCTATAATCCCAGCAAGCTGGCAGGCTGAAGCAGGAGGATTTCAAGTTCAAACTCATCCTGGGTAATTTAGTGACTTAGTATCCTGTCTCAAAATTTAAAAAAGGGCTAAATGAAACAAAATAATAAAATTTTAAAAAGTACCTTATTGTGAAGGCTCTGGGTTCAGTCCTCAGTATCACACATGCAAAGTTCAGATCCTCACAGGCCTTATGCTATTATTCCTGTTTAAAAATCAGGAAAAAGTATTGATCTATAATAAATACTATTTGGGTTAAGGTGCTGAGATACTGGTTCTGGACAAACTTAGTAAACACTTTTTTTTTTGGTATTGAACCCAGGACCTTTGTGTTGAGGTATATCTCCGGCCCTTTTAACATTTTATTTTGAGAAAGGGACTTAATACATAATAGAGGCTGGGCCAGAACTTGACATTTTCCTGCCTCCGCTTCCCAGATGTGTTGTGATTACAGTTATGTGCTATCACACCCCAAAGCTCCTGCCTTTGTAACTTTTTGTTTGCTTATGTTGTGTTGTACCATGCCCAAGTTTGAGCAATTTTTTCTTTTTAAATGTATTCTAATTTTTTACTTTTTCTCTCACGGCTTCTGGATTTGTAAATTTAATGTTATTGGTACATTTTAGATATATGCAATGATAACATTCATTATAAGGAATTTGTACTTGTACATGATATATCTTTCTTCCCCCCTCCTTCCCCTCCCTTCGATCCCTCTTCCCTTATTTACAAAAGCTTTGTTTACATGTTTTTCTATTTTTTAAAATTTTCTTTACAAGTCAGTTTTTACATAGATATTTTTATGTGTTCTATTTTGCTTTAACAAAAGATGTGGCATAATAATTTCCTTCTAACAATACCAGCATCACTCAGATATAAACACAGCATTCAGGGTGTCCTCTCACTTTTTGGTGGTCAATTTAGAGCAGTATCATTCATCACACAGCAACTGGTCTTGAAATCAGCAGCTAAGACCTTAGAATGGTTGACAGAGACAGCCCATACTACAGAGCCCCAAGTGCAGACTTAGGGATTCAATTAAAAATTTTAAACCCGCCTTTGGAATTGTAACAAGGTGGATTATTTGATGTGATAATGAAATGCTAAGGGAGGAAGAGAACTGGCAGGTCTCTGGATAACAGTGACTTAGGAACATGCTGAGGCGCGGTCTGAAAGCAAACGATGCCACATTAAAAGCAAAAAACCAGACAAAACTGGGAAGCAGCCTGGCATTCTGGGGACACTTAGAGAAGGGCTAAATAACATTCTGGCTCTTAATAGGCCCCAAGGGCACCAGCCATTACTTGTCCTGCATCATTAACATTCACAATGATGGCCTCAGTTTCCAAAAATCAATCCTGATATACATAAAGTATCCAGCGATAGCAGTTCCTGAATGTTTGCTACATATCAAATGTTATAGATGCACATCTCATTTAATTTACAGGGTAATCCTGTGAGGTTATTACAATAATTCTTTTTTTATAGAAGAGAAAGTTCAGATTCACAAAGATTGTTAACTTGCCCAAAGCCAGAAAGCTGGTAGATGAAAGAGATTCAAACAGAGGAGGCTGATTTGAGAAAATCACACTTTTAACACTTTTAGAGACATTTCCATAAAGATTCAATTTAAGTAAAACAAAACAAAATATGCAATTAGTCACTTAGCTTTCGGCATCTGGAAAATTCTCACAAATGGAATAATTCATTCATATATTCATACACATATATTTATCTATATATAATATTTAAAAGAAAACAAAAATGTCAATTAGATTTATGGATATAGGAAACTCACATGCATGGGATTACTTATTGATATATATTCATATATATACATACATCTGTATGTTTTGTAGCATATGCACACACACATGTAAGTCTCCATTTGTGGTAAAGGTTTGACATCTCTGTACAGACAAACCATGGCACTATTAAACACACAAGCTTAAAGGAAAAATTCTGCAGAGTCACGACCTGGTAATTTATTGGTGCTATGTAATTTAATTTGATGAGTAGTAAATAGCAGATGCCAGATCACATTGCTGGAAAACTGGGCCACTGATGAGCCAGTCCGCAGTTTGGATGAAATCAATCTCACTGTATACAGGGGGAATCATCCATTGTGCAATTACCCAATGAGGAAAATATGAAAACATCGCATGTGTGCTGGCAAGCTCCTTCAGCCATGTGAAGTAAAGAGTCCTGCAGGGGAGGAGCATGTAATTGTCAAAGCCACAATCTCTCGCAATAACACAGCCTCTGGCTATACTTCCAGCCACAGTCAAGAACCACATCTCAATGACTGTGTTTAAGAGAGTGGTCAGGGTTGAATTAACCCCTTGGAAATCCAGGTTGCTTTGGCTCACATGTGTGCCAGGGCTGGTCAGAAAGAACTCCTGCCGGTTCTAAAGTGGATCAAGTAATATTTCTATAAACTTAGATGATGACTGGATTGGATTATAAATTCAAGGCAGAAAAAGTGGTTTTAGACCTAAGTGATTTAAACTCATGTGAATATATTTTTCAACTTCCCTTCATCATCTGCAGAATAAACTGCAAACTCCTAAACTTCATACAGAGTGTCCTTTATAAAAGATATCTCACTTCCACTCAAACCTCCTGTCCAGGCACTATTCTCCTCTTTGCCGCAGGCCCTACCTACATTCTAAGTCAAGGTCTTCAAATGAGTACTTTTCTTTGTTCTCCTTTTGTGAACAAGCTATTCTGCTAGGTGATGTTATATCATTCTTACTCTTTTCTGACAAGTAAATTGATCATCCTTCAAGATTCAGTACGAATATCACCTGCTCTCAGGTCTTCTTGCTCTGCTGGGCAGGTAGTTGCCTTTTCAGTATTTTTTTTCATATCTATTATGTTACTTGCTATTTTGCACTGCTATTATATCCACGCTTGTCTTCCTTTCTAGACTGCATTCTCCTAAGAGTAGGGACTGTAATCCACTAATCTTTGTCACCTAGAGTGAGAACAATGCCTAGCCCACATGAGAGCACATGATAAATGTTTGTTAACAGAGACAGTACTGTACACACAATTGATCAAATTAAGATCTTCACAAGGGATTGTTATACAAAAAAAGTTTATTCAGAGCTTTTGTGCAAACGGAAATGCTACTGTGGTGGAAGCCTCTCAGTGATGCTGGGGATGAGTCTTCTCTTCTCTGACTATGAAGTGCTTCATGGGATGCTTCACATGCCATGTATTAAGCCAAACCACAGAAACTTACTGATTCGGTGGGTCAAAGATATTATCAGTTTTTATAAGGTATAGCCTGATAGATTCTTTATATCATGACTATTCACTATAAAAATTCACATAAAAATTCCTTTGGTGTGAGGATGAAAGATGAAAAGAAGGAAGCAAAGAAGGTTGAGTATTTCCCCAAAATGACAGGTCACAGCAAAAACCAACAAACAAACAAACCCCATAAAAACAAACAAACAAACAAACAAACAAAAACAAGATTCAGTGCCACACATGAGAATGTATTTTGTTTCTTCCAAACCTATGTTGACAGCAAAAGCACATCCTTGGTCTAGAAGACATTCAGTCACACAGAATGATCCCACTGGTTTGGCAGAAAGTGGCTATATTTAAGGGAGGCTAGGTCTAGTTGGCTGCTGAGTCCATAATTTGGTTACTTGACAATCAAACTTTCTGAAACCAGGCATCAGCTAATGTTCCAGTGAGATGGTCAAGAATCAAGATTTAATAAATTCTAATACTGATGTGTAACTAACTTTTTAAAGGAAATTTGAACAATCTATGAATAATCAAGTTCTTGCTGCTACATTTCCTCACTTGTTACATCATGAATGTAAATACT